GGAAGAGTAGGAGGTGGATGAGGCGAAAGGGGAGGAGGAAGAGGTGGAGGAGGCGAAGGAGGAGGAGGAGGAGGCGAGGGAGGATGAGGAAGAGGAGTAGGAGGAGAAGAAGAAGAGGAAGAGTAGGAGGAGGTGGAGGTGGAGGCGAAAGGGGAGGAGGAAGAGGAGGAGGAGGAGGAGGAGGAGAAAAAGAAGAAGAGTAGGAGGAGGAAGAGCAGGAGGAAGAGAAGGAGGAGGGGAGGAGGAGGCTTGAAATACGTGTTGTAGGAAAAATGTCTCACAAATGTGCAACCATTGTTCTCACTGTTGTGGAGGATGTGACACATGTTGACATAATTGAATCCTTCAGACATGTAGAATGACAAAACCCGAGGCGGAGACAGATGACAAACATGTATCCCACTTTGATATCGTCAAGTAGAAGTCAACAAAAGTTTTGTCCAAATTTGTTTTACACCGCCACAGATACAGGCCTTGAAGCCGCTCCGAGGACTGGCAACGAGGTGAGTGATGGCAGCGTCCCACCGCAATTTCCTACTTCATTACGTGACGAAAAGAGAAAAGATATGCTTAAGCGCTTACACCTGTCTGTTACTTGACAGACACAACCGAGCCGTCCATCAGTGCAACATTTGCTGTTAATGCGTCAAAATGTTTGTTGAAAGGCTTCACTAAATTGCAACATTTATCAAGAGTAAAATATCAACTTTAACTGCTTCACCTCTTTTTTAGTTTCCTGCACCGTCTTACCTAACCACCTCGAAGTTGGTAGTGCGTGACTTCTGTTTCAACTCCGTCCACCTCGATCCGAGACGGCAGACCTGAAACGATGACCACTGCGCCCCCCCAGTGGATGTGACCTGACCTCGGCGCCGCACCACTGGCCTCGGTAGGGCGGATTTTTTCCTACTCAAAAGACGTCTTGAAGCACAACAAACTAGCTCAAAAAAAAAAATAAATAAACAGCAAAGGCAATTGTCCCCTCCTTACTACAATTCCAACCAAATTTCAAAATCCCGCCAGTAGACATCTGTCCGAAAGCGGAGACAAAATGACAGTCTGTACAAAAAAAAATCCAACAACTAGGAAATGAGGTGTTTAGACAATTGAAATGGAGGTGATGACCCCTGCGCGGTGCAATCATCCCGACAAATTGTTGAGGGTGGACAGCGTTGTACGATGCAACTTAAGACTTTAAACAACTCCACCAAGTGACATTCCTTCCCCCTTTACCACCCACTTTGCCCTCCATTTCCACCTCAGTACAAAACGCAACAAAAAGAAACCTCACAACATCATAAACGACATAAAACGTTGGTATTATGCAAAGGTGGAGGTAGAGCGAGGGAAAGGGGATGGACCTTGAAGGTAACGTCTAAGACCGAATATTTAGAAAAAAAAAAAAAGAAAAAAAAGCGCGCAAAAGTATCACAGTGGTGTCATAGGACTGTCAATTGGCGTGGAGTCAGGATGGCACTGCATGAGCACAAACATAACAAGGTCCGCATTCACCCAGTACCCCGTGTGGACGGTGAGAGCGGAGAGGTAGGTGGACTCGTATCGACTCTCCTTCAACTGGTAATCCATACGATATTCCAAGGACAAGGGCAATGCTTCAGCATCGGAGGAACGACCGTCAAGAGGGGAGGCAGGAGAGGTGATATCAAAGTGAAAGGTGGATGAGGAGTCGGGTGGCACCTCCACCTCTGAGCCCTCATCCTCCACACAAAAGTGTGCTCTCGAAGGCTCACAAGGCGGGGCAGAGTACTTGTGACGTTTTGCAGAGACTTGGGTTGGTGGTGAAGACGGTGTTTGCCGTTGTGATGGTGTAGTCTGTGATTGGGGTTCTTTTTGATTTCGGAAAAATCCCAACATCAAGGCTGTGAGAAACAAAAAAGAAAAAAGGAACAATAAAACAAAAAAACCCAGTAATACGCAGTTTAAGGGGAGTAAAATTGAAGGACAAAAGGAATAAGCATATTGTTGTTTGGAAGAACTCACAGGAAAGAGGGAGACGTCGACTGAATTGACTGCCAATAAAATTGAGAGAATCCATGGAAGAACTGCCATAGCCCAGCAAGGAATGCGAACTGGGAGCCGGAGAGGAGTCGTAGTTTTGGTCTTGGTCATCGTATAACAACTAAACAATAGTAATACCCCAACTTTACCAACCAGTACAACACCAAATTTGTCAAATGAAGTCAAAGAGATGAAGAAATTGAAAGCAACATGCATATGAGAGGCAACACACTCCTGAAGGCGCAGAATTTTGAGCAGTGAGAGACAAGCCATTCGTGGTGTGGGCAAGGTGGTAGGGAGTCTTGGACGCGTCTGTGCATCGATAGATGTCCACAGGAGGAATAGAGGAGTAGCGTTTCAACAACAGCGGTTCCAATCGGTAGGCCTATATTAACAAAGGCGAGAAAGATAGACGTGAACGCATTCAGCAGAGCCGATTTGACGACACCATCACAAATAATGCATGAAGAGTTTGCCACTCAAATGTGGGGGAGGGGGAAAAAACGCTCATAAGCAGACCTCAGAAAATGGAGGAGGAGGAGGATAAAAGCGCTGATGACAAATGGAAGGAGGCATGAAGTGGTAGCGTGGCAGATAACAGCCTTGCATCAAAATTCCATTCTTACAAATCGAATCTTACGCAAGAAAATGTGTTTAAAAACATGACTTAGGCATTATCTTTCATCCTCTCAAATAAAAAGTGCCAATTCAATTATGGTAGAAAAAAGTAGCCTCCTTTCACATCCATTGAAGACGTCAAAGGCTTCAGATTTCCTATTCTTGTCATTAATGGATCATCCAAAATGCCTCTTCACCTCTTGCGCCTTTGTGTTGAACCCCGAAAAGTCCTCATTCATGCAGACAAGTGGGGAGAAGGAGTCATTCAGCAGCAAAAAATGCTGATGGTTAAGATGCCCGATCAAGCAGAGAGGAATGACAAGGCCATGCGACGGAAGTTTCCTCCTCCCCATCCAAGGTGTGGCTTGAAGGGCTCAAGCTACTGCTTCCTAGGCTACCACTACCACGTGTTTTGTTTGTTTGTTTGTTTGTTTTTTTCCCGAGTAAAGGCATTCCCAGGGTACGATGTTGGTGGAGCCGTGCTCATGACTACCGCATCAAATGACACGTTTGAGGGAGGTTTAACAATGGAAGCGTGAAGCTGTGTTTTACTGATGTGAGAAGCGAATGATAAGGCAAACTCATGCCATCCACTCTTTGCCGATAGACAAAGGGCATCCAAGTGGTCTGTGGTCATGACAGTGAGTTTGTCAAGTCCTAAAAGAGGCACACTGATGGCTTAGTTGTGCTACCGCCAAGGCTGTACAATCCTCAACAAGAAGGAGAAACGGTGAGTCGTAAATCGCGTCAAGGTGAAGGGGACTCGAACTGTCCCACAGTCTTTTCTGGACGGTTAAGTCTTTGGAGGGAGAAGAGGAAAAGAGGCACAAGACGGAAGGAAAGAGTTGTTTTCGAGCATTTTTGCAAATAAGTGACAAGCTCGAGGTAAATGAACTACCGACAACGCAAATTTACGACGAGAGAGTGGGAGAGAGAAAGAGAGGTAGAAGACAAAAAAACTAAAGGCTAGATTAGAAAAAAAAGAAGTACTACCGTTTAGAGAGGGTGACAAACGAAGGAGCGTCAAAATGCCTTGGAGTAAACAATGGTTGTAGTTGGGAGGGACCAAAGTGATTAACCTACCCATTTTGAGGGTTAAAAAGGACCCACCAAGCTCCGATCCGCCCGATGCAGTGGGAAAAAGTAAAAGAAGAGCCTCAAGCCAAGGAGCAGGTCGACCTAGCGGGAAGTGAGTTCAAGGAAGACCTAAAATTCCGCCTCAATGATGCCTCCTCAGCTGTGGACACACAATTTAAAAAGCACTCCTCAATGACACAGCTTTAACTTGTAGTCCAACTCCACTTTGTTGTCAACTTTAAGGCGTAAAGTGGTTGGTTATCACTCAAAGGTTAAAAATAATCCACAAAAGGAGAATCCTTAGACCACCAAGCAACGTCTGGTGAAGTTCGTTTAACAGCTCTGCCTACTTCCCCACCGATCCCACAACGGATGGGGGGAGGGGAAAAAAAGTGGGGAGGAGGGAATTTAGAACAGAAAAGCCTCCTTGTGTTGTAGGCAGCCAACTTTCACAAAAGTGGAATCAAAAATTCCAACTCCAAATTAAGCCCACCTAAAAGGAGCATTAGAAAGGGGAGATGAGGTGAAGAGGCTTGAAAATGGCCTCTCTAGTGCGATAAATAGAGAGACTTCGGAGGCAGTGGAAGAGAAGATTATTACTTTGTAATTTATTTTACAGAGAAGGCTGCCTTGAGTGCATGGAGCAATCAAATCCGCCAGACACAAGCGCCAATAGCAGGCAATGCTCCAATTCTAACAATAACACAGCTTGTTTTGCTTTGTTTTGATTTTTGTGTGTGTATGGGTGTGCGTGTGTGTGTGTGTGAGAAACGAATTTGTTTGAGAGGCAGGAAATTGCCCTCGTAGGCCACTGCATTACGTCAGGAAGGGAATTTTTGTGGTGAGGTGAGATGAGACCACTTGAGTGCATAAGTGGAGGTCAAGGAGACTTTAAACGCCCACATAATGGAGAAGGGAGAGGGAGAGAGTCAAGCGTGAAGTTGTGGCAGTGCTGATGGAAGCGCCAACTCGCAGAACTCCACTGCACGACACAGTCACCAACACAAAGTGTTAAGATTAGTCGAATCCACAATGCAAACGAGGAGGAGGAGGAGGAGGGGGAGAGGGAGGAGAAGAAGGAGAAGAAGGAGAAGGAGGAGGAGAAGGAGAAGAAGGAGAAAGAGAAGGAGAAGGAGAAGAAGGAGAAAGAGAAGAAGGAGAAGAAGAAGAAGAAGAAGAAAAGAAGGAGAAGAAGGAGAAGGAGAAGGAGAAGGAGGAGGAGGAGGAGAAGGAGAAGAATGAGAAGAAGAAGGAGAAGGAGGAGGAAAGCACAAGATTTAGGGCGCTTTGAATGGAAGTGAAGCTTTTCAGAGACTTTGAGAAGGTGGCAACTATCACCTCAAGGTGTTGAAAAAAAGTTGTGTACTGAAGAAAGTAAATACTTTGACCAAGGCAAATTCCCTTTCACACACCTTTAGAGGGGGAAAAAGTGTGCTGATTGTGCATTGCTTTAAAAGCAAAAAAATGGACAATTCACATGACATCACATGAAATCGACGTTTGGGAATGTTGAAGGAAGAAGCGCACACTTGAAGGATTGCTTAAAAGGAGAAAAAAAAACTCGGAAATAGTTGAGATGAAGAGTTAACTAGACGCATTTGTATGATTAGTCATTTAAAAAAAAAAGCCCACACAAACACGGTAGGCAGCAACACGGCACAACGCAAAAAAACGCACCACCGGATCGGCAGGATGGAAGATGTTGTAGATGTAGGCGCACTTTGAGCGTGGCATAATGGCATCGGGAGCCCCAATTTGACCCGGATGCACACCCCTCAAGGTCAAGTAGACGGCCAGAGGAGAGCCCATACAGAAGAGGTTTTCCAACTGCCAATGAGACACCGGCCAAGAGAGCAAAAAAGAAGGACAAATAAGTCAAGAGGGCAGTAGTAACACCCTACTGACAGGTGAATATTAACAAGAAAAAAATTTAAACTGTGATACGTAAATCATGAGTATGTGTGACGATTTCTGTACAAACTTTTCTCCTCTCCCTCCCCCCTCCCCCCTTTTGGTTTTATACAAGACTGGAGATTCGAAGAGTGCACGTATTTGAACAAAATGGCCTAATTAAACCGTCTAATGGTTTGCCGACCTCGACGGCTCACTTTGAAGGTCTGCAATTTCAAAGGGGAGGGAGGAGAAACGAAAAAAAAAAGAAAAAGAAATGAGAGAAAAACGAACATATACATCCTATTTCAATTTCAAGTTAATGCATAGAGTGAGAGCAACAGGACTGGAGAGAGAGAGAGAGTAGCAAACAATTCATTTGGCTCCATTCTCAAATGCCAGGTGCTTTAAAAACACAAAAGTGTTCATCACCTGGTCCCGCCCTAGGCGCAAGGTGTCATGGAAGAGCAGAGGACACCAAAACACCTCCACGCATCGGTGAATTCCCTCCCATAAAGTCACTTTGTCCATCGAGAGGAATGGAAGACGAGGAGTTGTTAAATCAACAGTTTTGGACATTAAAATGACTACACTTGATGATTCATTCAGCCAGACAAACACACAAGCAATTCGGTGCTTTTGAGGGAGTTAATTGTGATCAAGAGCACGGAATGTGCGCCTAGGATACAAAAAACAAACAAGAAAAAACACCTAGTAGAGTCCCCAACGGGTAGCATTTCTGTACAGTGGAAAGAATTGTCTGGTAGACATCTACTTAGGGCGACCTAACAGTGAAGGCCTCGATTCAATCCCCCGTCCTGACAGCCGTTGAAGGTGGCAGTTGACAAGTCGGCATTTGTAAGTTAATTTACAAGAAGAGCGTAAACTTTTGCTGGCCTAGATTTACTGGTGCTAGGGGATCGCCCCGACTGCGGTTTCAATAACTCCGAGTACCTCCAAAAAAGCCTCCGGACGGGCTCGCGGACCTACTGAGCGCTGAGGCTTCAAGAGGGAAATCACAAAGCGGTCAACAACAGTGCCACCGCCAAATGAAAAAAAAAGGATGCTAACCTCAAAAGAGGCATTTTAAGAAAAGCTGTGAACTTTCTCCACCTGCTTGTGAAGAGGAATTGGCAAAGTTGAGCAGGCAAAAAAGCGCATTCGCACATCAGCTTAAATCCCCGTCGACGCAACAACATTAGCGGCATTACTTGCCAAAACTTCACGAAAGCCAGTAACATTTGAAGGTAGTGCTCTAATAAAACAAATTCTGCCAATTTTTGCACGATACATTACTTGAAATGCAAGAATACAGTCGCCCTGGTTTTGAGCTACAAGCATGGACATTTCTATTAACTATTACAGCACCCAAAAGCGGGACTACGATCAAAAAGTGGTGAGGCAGTAAGTGGAGCTGTAAAGACTGTCGTCTTTTGCGTTTGGAGAAGAATAGACTTTTGACTGAAAGCAGGCAAGGAGTCGCCACCTTAACACGCTAGGAGCACCGCACACGAAAGCTAGATGTGCTTCAACCTCGCTGCGTGTCATGCCGAAGGTACCGTTGCTGTCGGAAGTTAATGAATTCAGCATGGAAATGATGGAAGATTCGTAGAACTACGTAACAGTTTGTAATGAAGTTAAGGCGATGCATGATTTGACGCAATGAACTTCAAAAGCACTCCAGAGAGGCGTCAAGATCAGACCCATGTGACGTATTAAAGTTTGCAAATAAACTTATTAACACAATGACTGAATGATTTCCATTATAAATGCATAAACAAAGCGCGGCCGTTGGTTTAAATAAGCGGTTCAAACCTTCAAAATTATAGCGGAGCAATATGAGGACCAAATAAGTGTTACGAAGCTGAGTAGGGAAGATCAAGCACAACCCACCCTTGAAGCGAAAACCAATGAATGGCAGTTGTTGGAAGACCTGTGGGCAAAGTCCTTGAGATGCCGCCGCTCCAGTTGGGTCTCAAGGCATTTTACGCTAATGAAAGGAAAATGAAATTGTCATAAAAACTTGCTACTTAAAAGGTATAAGTAAAATTCAAATTTACACTTCTTTTGCGGCTTCCAATTTCGCAAGTAGGACAGAGGGATCTTCGTTATCGCCATCAATGTCACCGATATCATTGCCGCTGATATTGCCTCTTGTTAGTTTAGACGACAATGCATCTTGGAGTGAAATAGAAAAAGGCTAAACTAAGACTAACAGTAATGGGAGAGTGGAGTAGCATCGAAGCAAATTACAAAGTATTTCGAGATACATAACTCTTAACAAGAAATGTACCTTCCAAATCCAGTTGATCTTTCTCTGAGCAAAGAGATGACCGAACACAGTGAGATACTGGCTCAATCCAACCAGTAACGAGATCGTAGGAGATAACAGAGCCCAGAGAGTGGGCCAAAATCGACACCTTTCCACCCTGTTGCTCGAAGTAGGGATGCCTCTCACAGAAGAGGCAGTAAAGCCGATTCAGTTCCACTCGGAGGCTCTCGTTAATCTCATGGCGGTAGAGCGGACTTGTGTAGTACATAATATCCATGAAGGTGCAGTTGAGAAAAGTCCGCAGACGTGTCAGGTTATCAAG